CAATTCTCAGTCTTTTTTTTAAAAAAAATTTCAAACCAAATAGCAAGGATTCATTGACATTTTTCTAATCTGTATTCTCTTTTGCTTTCTTTATTAGTCTGTGTGCTACGCTTTTCATCTTCACAGCCAAATAAAAATGAAGGTGCGTGTTCAAGAACAGAGAAGTTGCAGAAGAAGCTTCGAGAAAAGACACCGATAGGTACTTTAAGACTTTGAATTTTTTTAAATATGATTTATAAAAATTGTTGGACAGAGTTTTGTGTAAATCGGTGTGGGATTTGGAATTTAATTCAGTAAAGAAGCTCTAACGCCATGTCAAACAGTCAAAAGAATTTAAAGAGCCATCTATGGTTCCACTTCTGAGCCAGATGAGTCCACTCCAGTCAGCTCGTTATTTCTTAAAGATACTCCCACCTGCATTTAGGTCTTGGAAGTCGTCTCTTCCGGTCAGGTTTTCCAATCGTGATTTTGTATGATATGAAAACCTAATGATTTCAAGAAAACTCATAATATTTTCTGTTGTTTTACGTGTATGCGTAACTTGGTCTTTTAAAATCCCGCAATATTTCTAGTATGTCTTGTATATTGACAGATGCACCTGATCTTTTGTTAAGAACATGTAAGTGACTATTTCCCCCCCTGCAGGAAAGCTAGATGAACTAGATGAAGGCAAACATCCTTACCAGGAGAAAGAACCGCTACCTCCGTGGCCAGATAATACGAACCCAAACACGGGAGAGGTCGGAGGTCCACGCGGACCCGAGCCGACGCGGTATGGCGACTGGGAGAGGAAGGGGAGGGTGTCTGATTTTTAGAGAACTGTATCGGGAGCTAGGACGTAGTAGAGAACTCGTAGGTAAGTTCCACATTTTTATTTTGAGTTATATTTTGCAGTTTTGTTATTAATATTATTTTTTTTCCAGTTGGTGGTCCTTATTGAGTACATTTCTTTGTTGCATATTTACAGTTTATGCCTCATGTCTGATCAGACAGTGATTATCTTTATTGTGCATTTATACAAGTTTTGGTAGCAAGATTGCAGCATTTTATTTACGTCGCAGATTCTACGATAAGGAAACTACTTCGACTGATTGACTTTATTTTATTTGTCCTTTAATCATGCAGCGCAAAAGTACGCAGTCGTAACCGAATTTCACCAAAGAACAAAAGACAGTAGGAAATAACTTGTTCTGAAACCAAGCAAATGTAAATATTTATGAATAATGAATCAATAATTTTGGATTCGCTGTCCCCATTTATTCAGACAATTTGCTGATCATTTATTGCTATTAATTTATTTTTGGTTCATTGTGAGGGGATGTGGAAAGTGTTTTACAGTTATCTGCATTTTAAAAATTATATACAGCAAAATAAATTAATATTTATTGTACAAATTCCTTTCATTTGTTTTCCATGATTTAGACAGCCACCCTGATAGGTCTTTCATGGTTTTCCTCAGTCCTTACATTAAAATAATACCAGAATGTTGATTTAAAATAGGCCATGACCACTTCCTTTCAACTTCTTTCCATATCATATTTTGTGATATTTTAAAGAAATTCATTTAATGCTACTTAACCTGTGTAGATGATACAGAATAATTTTATAAATCTGACTGGCGTAGTTACATTAATTGCATTTTCGTGCGATAGAATGAAATGTGTTCATAAGTTTGTCTTGAATTGATTGATTGGCATTAGCCGGCAACCAGCTTCTCGGCTCGCATGCATCGTATTGTAGTAATTAGGACGCTTCGTCAAGGCCACGTGGAAGAGAGGCTTTGTGACGTGTACAGAAGTAAATAAGCATATTTAAAAGTCAAAGAACACAGGAGAGCCAAAGAGCGGAGGAAAATATGACATGAATATTAAATAATGCGAAAGGAGGAAAGAAATAGCATTGATAGGGTCTAACATAGGAGTGAGCTATTTTCATACTTGTCACCAGCGCCAGATATATTCTCTGTAGGTTCCTGATTCACTTTTTGGGTTTCAAGGTCATTGAAACCTAACCTAACCCACCCATCCCTCCTTACACGCAGGGTAGCAGCACCGAGTGAGCGACTCGTTAAATGAAGGTAGGTCCGCCGTCAGTGCTGCTTATTCCAAAACTTGCTTTGAGGACTTAAGACGGCTGTCTTCAGGGCTTTTTTTGTCATGTAGTCTGATAGGAAGTATTCCAGAGGACCTTGCTGCCTCCTCCATCAGGGGAATTACCTGGATGATGGAGGCAGAAAGAACCCGTGAAACGTCGGCATACTTCTACCAGGCTACGTAGCGCAACGTCCCCCCCCCAAAAAAGAGTCATATTATTTGTATCTCAGAATTTGCTGGAGGAAGTTGACAGAGAAAATTAAATGTGATAGCGAGTATTTGTTTTGAGATTCAAACCCATAACCTTCCAGTAACGAAGCAGGGGTGCTGACATTTCGTTGGGTGTTAAAATATCCTTAGGCTTTTTGATATAACACAGAATCTGAGGTTTTTGTAATTCATAGGATTTCATCTTGTTGAAGTTCACTCTCCGGACCCCCTGTTTTCCGGGTCATGTATTCGTCCGTGAATAGAGTTCTACTGTCCCCCTCTCCTCGTATATGTGCGATACCGTGGGGTGGAGCAGCAAAGCGGGCAAACACCCCTCATGGCACGTATTTCATTATCCCCCCCCCCAGATAATCATAACTAACCAGAATGTTAGTTAAACTGTACCATTGGATTTCTGTATTATCATTGAATCAAGTCCACCGCCTGTGTTCGAGACTGCAGTACACTCACAGCGGATTGAAATTACTGAGCTGTTGTCTAGACTTGTATTTGGGCGGTACTCAGTTCGAATCTCGGCAGAGCTACCCCTTGTCTGGGTCCTTAACACAAAAAATGTTTTATGCAGAATCCAAAATAAGTTATAATAATGCTATAAATAACGACACAATCGCCATTTTGTGTCCGATTTCCTGAAAGATTTCGCAAGAAAATGTAGACGTTTTCCAAAATATGAGAAACGAAACTTTAAATGGCAATGACGATCTGTTAGTGCAAAAAGATTTTACCTTGAAGTATGGATCACGTTTCGCGGTCATGGATTTGGGGGTGGGGGGTTTGCATGATTGAGCATCCATTGCTGTTGAAGATGGGTATTGGTCAGTCGCTTATAGGATCCGAATTTCGAAGTGCAGAAAAGACGCGATATCGTAGGCGAAAACAGCTACCTGCAACACGTAAAAGCTTTTACGTAAACACGGAAGCCCCTTACATTCGAGGGACATGTTCGTATTTTTTTTATAAAACGTTACTCTCTGGCCTAAAAGTGTACATGACGTCACAACCCAGAACGTCGTCATCCTCGCCACTGTCAGAACGTCAAATCTCGAAAGAACATGGCGATCGCTAAAAATATTTTTGTGTGGTGAT